TAAAGAAACAGTAAGGAGAATCTATGTAAGGTGATGCGGATACACGAGTGGTTTTCATAACATTTTGAGGCTATTCTCTTTGATGCTTTTAAGAGTGGATGAGGAATTTTGATACCATTTCTTAATGTACCTCTTATTTTTCCCAGCTTAATGTATCTTTTATTTTCCCCATAGCAAGTTACACTTCAGCAGGACAAACGTGGTCTCTGGAAGAAGAGCTGGTGACAAATTCGCAGGCACAATCCCATGAATGGACAGATCTGGGTTAGTGTGGGGATTTGGTTGCTATCCATTCAGCACCACCGCTCTCCCAAGTGATGAGACAAAGACCAAGGGATCTCAGGGAATCTAAACTTATTAAAATATCTAGAATGAATCTATTTCCTAGTGGTTATGTTTAAAAACAGAGGTAATCTAATGTCAAACACCAAGATGAGACTCTGGAAACCATTACAACTTGAACACATCTGAAGCTTGTTTGTGTATATTAATCTCACTTCATGCTTGTAAAAGTGGCAATGCAGTTCTATTATAACACATATCAAGATGAATTTACTCTCCCACCACACAATTAGCTATTTGGAGGCAGGAACTACATCTCAATCATTTGTTTCATTTTGAATGGCAGGGGTTGGAGGTGGTAGATTTGGATTGTATTATTTTAGCTAAACCAGGACTACATGTCCCAGAATTCTATTCCCTCCATAGTTCCAGGTTAGCCGGAGCCAGGGAGGAATTTTGCAGGACATAAGGTAAAAGTCAATCGATAGTCACATTCTTTTTGCATCAGAAGGTCAGTGAAGGGCAAGAGCAGTGTGGCCGCCCACCCAGGTTGTCACTAACCTGCGGGCTCACATTACTGGCACAGGGCAGAGTTGAGCCACATTCCAAACATACTAGGGTCTTTCTGAATCAGATGGGCATCTCTTCTTCCTTCAAGCTAAAGCACAAGTGTGGCTCCCACTGTAAGACTTCCCCCAATTCCCCAGGCATGGCTGGTTTTCCTGCTCAAGTCCTCCTTTGCCAGGTATTGACTTTCCCAACGGCAAGGAACTGGTGGATTGATCTTGCATATCTAGTGTCCAAGGAATGAGTATCATACACCCACTTAGAAGAAAGGACCTGCCATGTGTTCAGTCCACGGAACCCGAATGTAACAGATGACAACATTCTGTAGACTGGACGTCAGTGGGGTTACTGAGGCCTACTATTTCCATGCCTAAAATAACCAGGGCCACAATATGGTAATAATGCACAGTGATTCTTATGGCATTACTTTGTGTCTAATTAATACAGTTCCTTATTTTCCACACAGAAGGAAGCATGGTGACTCTAAACAGCGAATGTCTACAGGACAGAATTTGGGACTTCTCCTTCTCACCTCCCGGCTCTGCTCATTCTATATTCCTATTGTACAGCCTGCTCCAACAGACCACAAACTCCATGCACAACTGGAGAAACGCCACCCACTCTTCACGCCGTCAAGGCACAATTGTGCAGAAGCACACAATAGATTTTATTTAGGAAAATGAACACAAAAATATTCTTCCTAGGGCAATGCAATGCAGAGGAATACTGTCCTGATTGCTATTGCACTGAACTCCTGTGAGGACAAAGCACAGCATATGTTGCTTCTGTTTGGTTTTGTCTGGTTCTGTTTGTTTGTGATTTTGCTTTGACCAGTTTTATTTCTCTTAATGTTTCTTTAGCTTTTCAATTCCTTGGGCTAATGGTGTAATCTTATCTTCTGCTCAATATTGTTATCTAATACAGTTCAATAAGACTTTAGTCATAAGGGAATGAAACTACCTCCTATTCCCACAAAGCCCAAATTTAAATATGGGTAGCTCCTAAGCCTTAGATAATTTGCTCATGTTAGCCACATACCGTTCTCCTTGAGCGTTCTCTGAACACCCACAAATGGGCTCAAGTCTGACCCTAACATGAGGCAGGTAAACATGCAAAAGGAAGAGGCTTCTGGATGTATAGTTCACAGTCTCTGATATTCTGTCACCTTCTCAAATGATAATTGCATGTCCAGGGAAGGGTTTTACGGTGCCATCTATAAATAGAACTCACTAGCACTTCAGTCACGAAAACACTAAAGGATGGTGGAGCATGCTGTGAGGTAAGTGCTCATTGGTGAGACCTGGTAAGCTCTTGTTCGGCCGAGTCAGTGTTCTTCTGGCTTCTGTACAGGAGAATCCTGACCAGAAATCTACTGAACAATTTCTGTGGCCGAGTCATTATGGCAGGTGTCTTGTTTTTGAAGTTACTTTGGCATTATTTTCCCAAAGTAGAGACAGAATGTTCTGAATTACCCACGGCTTGGAACAGCCTCACGTGTGATGAGAACAGTACTGAGTTGTGAAAAGATTGGCCGCATTTGTGGGTGAGTGGATATTTTTCTGGGGCACAGCCAACTAACTAATCAAGTAGTAACCTAATCCAAGAATTTAGTCTCACCAACATCATCCTTTAGTAGAGCTTTGCAAATTTTTCCATTAAAAAACAAACTTGAGAAAACAGAAATGAGCCTTTTATCTTTATCCCTACCCAAAGGGATAAAGAATATAATACGAAGGACTGGGTCCCAAGTTCAAAATACTCCCGTCTTAGGATTTTCCTTTACAATGTATGCTAATTTTGAATTCTGATAGATAAGAATACCTCCATTATAAAAATAATTACTTAATTGCTTATCAGTTAAATTATTTTATTCCCCTTATTCTCCATCCAAATTGTTGAGTTAAATGAATGCTTCTAAAAGGCACACTGTGGTCAGAATACCTCCATTATAAAAAAATAATTACTTAATTGCTTATCAGCTAAATTATTTTATTCCTCTTATTCTCCATCCAAATTTTTGAGTTAAATGAATGCTTCTAAAAGGCACACTGTGGTCATCTCGTTGCTTCTCTTAGCTTCTGGCAAATTGCTGCTACTGCGAATATGATTATTTGGAGTAGGACTCATACACATAAAAAATAAACTCCATAAAAATACACAACAGAATACATAAAAGCCTGAATATGTGGTAGAGTGGGTGAGGTTCATAGAAGAGGAGACAATGCCCTTAGAAGGCTGGACTGTGGGAGTCTTACAATCACCTGTTCTTTGCTTTAATGAAATCACTTCCCTTTTGATCAAATTGCACTTGGAATTCAGACAACACTGAGTGTGGATCTTAGACGCAAAGAAGTTCCATGACTTTCCCAAGATTACACAGCCAGAAAATGGAAAATCTAAGCTTCCTCTATAAAATGAATATGATAGCTCTTCTCAAATTTGAGATGAAAATCCAATGAATATAGTATTTAAGCATCCAGAACATAGTAAGCACAAAGATGCTTATTTTTCTACCTCACCATAGAAATAGTTATCATCCATCTGATGCCTGGAATCATGCAATTTTCCACCCACTATTCCTAAAGTTAGGTTTGAGGCCACTTTTCATAGAACAAGGAAGTAATATAGAACACTTGAGAATAAATTTATATGGGACAAAGGTGAAACAGCCTGTTCAAAGGATGGGTTTTATAAATTCAAAAAGAGAAGGTTCCACTAAATATATGGGTTGTTTTGGTACTACCAAATATTTACTCTGAATACCTTTTATATATCAATGCTTTCCACAAAATTAAAATTTTGGCCAAGTCCTAATTTTCAACTAATTTATACCCTTAACTTGGACTCACCATTAACATGTATAATGAAAGAAACATATATTTTCCAATGTTCTTGAACATTTTTTTCTCTTGCAAATCCAAATATACTAATTTAGGAAAATGCATTATAATAGCATATTGAGCGCCCCTCCCACTACAATCTTTTCTTCCAGTTTCTAATTTTGTATGAGACTGTCTTGGATTTACCACAATTCTCAGTCTCAGGTTCTAAAAATAAATTTAAGCAGGAATTATATCTATCGGCAACTATACATTAATATATTCTTTCTTCTTAAAGGTCTGACTCTTGTAGCTGTAAGACTAATATTCAGCAGAAATATTTCAGTCCTTGTTTCCTAGAGACTTTTCAGTTTATATGACTACAAAAGAATGTAAGGCACACTATCAAAATCATCTGAAGTATAGTAAAGTTATTATTTACCACCTACACTCACAAACAAGAGAAGCAACTCTATTATATACATTACAGAATTCATGGTAGCCAGAGAGAAAAGATCAACAGGTCTATACTTTTCTGAATAAATACTCAGAGACAAAAGTTCCATGGTTTTAATGGACAAGAATTAAAAAAAGCTTCAGAGAGAGAGGTGATTGCAAGAGGAGAAAAGTCTTCTAATTTATGTTAAAATCAATCTAGGAAGTCGATGTTTTTATTTTCTCTCATATCATTATATATAAAACTCAGAAGAATTAGCTCATTTGTCTTGAAGTTTTTGGATGGTATATAGATGCCTATTTCAATGCTTGAAGTTAATAAAACAGGATGTAATAATTTGCTTCTGAAAAAAATGTTAGAATACTCCACCTGGCATTGAATATGGAACATGAAGTCACTTTTAGATAGCTTTATACATAGTGGCACCAAGATCTGTTTAGTAAATCCCTTAAAGACCCATTTGAAACTACTTATGACTAAATCTTCAAAAGAACTCAAGGAATGACACACTGACTCCTACTTGAAGCACCTGGATAGGAAATGAAATGGTCTTTATTGCCCTTAATTCAACACTGACATTTACATTGCTGGGTACAGAGCATTGCTGGCGCTTAAACAGAGTCCAGCATGAGTAAAGCATAGGCTGAAGACCTTGTATAATAACAAAAGTAGAGCAAAGCTTACCTGTATTCACTCTCCCCATAGAGGACCTGTGAGCTGGGTGCTCACAGCTGAGCAATGGCAAAAAAACATTCTTTAGTTAATAATAAAGGGAAGAAAAGCTGCAGACACCAAGAACCTGGGTTAACCATTGACATTGGTTGTTCCTACAGTTCCACCCTGGGATCTACATAGGTAGCCCTTGGCATCTTATAAAGCGGGCAGTGGCTGGTCAGCTGAGACTGTGGTTACCTCACCACCTCTGTACCTCTGCACAAGGTACAGCGTGAAGGTCATTCGAGCATGCATACCCTGACTAAGTTTTCACTCGGTCAGGGTTACAAAGGAGGAAGACTTCCTGGGCCAGAAACATGTTCAACAATGCCAGTAAGTGACTCAAATATTTACAAACAGGGTTGCTGGGAACTAACCTATGGAAATCCTCCTGCCGGCTTTCAGATGTGGGGCATTGCAAAGAAACCCTTTTCAACCAGAACTCTTTGTCTGCATCTTAGCAGGTGAGGGTTGAGAGTGCGTGCCAATGAAAACTGAGACAAGACAATCAGAAAGAGCTAAGCATCCATTCCTACCTTTATTCAACATGCCTTTAATGATTATTTACCAAGTGCTGCACAGTTCCAAAGACGCCCTGATAAATAGGAGACAGAGATTACGACTGGAGGGTCCGCCCTCCCCTAACCCCAGAACCAGAGCTTAAGACAGAGGACAAGTGAAACAGGCTGTGGGCCAGAACCAGGATGTACAGGCTGTGTGCAGGCAGTCACTCCACCCCAGCAGCGGGTTCTCGGAGTGAAATGAACTGTGGAGGTGGTCGTGTAGGCAAGCTGGTTGACCAGAAGTCAGGAGATGGAAGGGTAAGGGAAGAGCTGGCTTTAAAGTGGAAGCATCAAGAGAAAGGCCCAGAAAATGTGAAACAACATTCCCAAGCTATTCACACCCTGGGCAAGCTATATCCAGGAAAGCTCAAAGGCAGTATTGTGCTGGCAAGGGATTAGTATTTTTCTTTACTCCAAAGAGCACCGGTAACCAGGGAATCTAGGAGCCCCATCCAGTTTGGCTGACCCTCCAAACCCAAGGGGCCCTTTCTAGGTCCTGAGCATAGTTGTTGTTTGGGGGTGGGGGGGCTGTTTGCTTTGGGTTTTCATTTTTTTAGAAGCATGAACACTTGCCAGGCCAGAGTGGCTCAGTTGGTTGAGCACTGTCCTGTTCACCGAAAGGTTATTGATTTGGTTCCCAGTCAGGGCACTTATGGCAGGCAACTGATGCATGTTTCTCTCTCATATCAATGTTTCTCTATCTATCTATCTATCTATCTATCTATCTATCTATCTATTTATCTATCATCTATCGTTCCTCTCTCTAAGCATGTCTTCGGGTAAGGATTTAAAAAATAAAATAAAGTAATAAAACAAAAGCATGAATACTTGAGAAAGCGAAATTAGATTTCAATGCTGGTGCTGTCACTAGCTTTGAGACTGTGGGAGCTGCTTAATTTGTGTGCACCTCAGTTTTCTCATCCATAAAATGGGGCTAATAATGATAGCAATGATGTCAAAAACACCCACCTAAGCCAGATACTTAAGAGCTGCAAACCTGTTAGCTCCCATTCAGGCTTTGACATTCTGTTCTGGAGCATGCAATATGCAACCTGTTAAACAGTAACAGCTAGAAGAGTTTGAACCCTCCAAGGGACCAATCTTTTCAATCACCTATAAAGGTCAGGGAAGTAGTGAACCCGGAGGCTAACTTTTCTGCAAAGAAATTTGAACAGTAGAGAAATGTCTACATTTCCGTACTAATCGAGGCAACTTTCATTACGGCTTATCCATAATGAGCCCTACTTGACTGTTTAGCATTATGGATTCCTCTGCTCAATTACTGGCTTGCTGCCAAGCTGAGCTCCCTTCATCAGTGCTCCATCTCAAAGGACTTTTAAAAGGGCACGGGGGTACACAGAAAGCTGCCTCTGCTCTGCAAGGACAGGTTCAGGGAAGGGGGGTTTGTTTGGGTGAGTTCTTGGACTGATCTGAGAAGATGAGGCATCTTAACTGTAACGCGTGAGAAAGACCACAGAGAAGGCAGGACAGCAAGCAAGATGGGGAAACTGGATGTCTTCCCAACTCCAACGGAGTCATATCATCAGGGCTTGGCTTCATTCCTTTGAAGTAAATTCCTAGAACATCAGACACACCCATACTCATGTAAGTAGAAACACAGTGACCTTCAGAGTCTCCACAGAGACCACGTGGCCCTCTAAGCCCGAGATATCTAGCATTTGACCATTTACAGAAAACTGTTTGCCGATCCCTGAGCCGGCTAACCCATACAGCTCACTGTTCTCCAAAGACAATGCCCCTCCTTCTGACTAATGATTGGCACATGGTGAACTTCAAGTTGACTGAATTTCTACAATTTAAAAACTTATCTTTCTATGTGCAATCCAGCAATCATGGCCCTTGGACTTTACCAAGAGTTAAAAATTTATGTTCGCGCAAATACTTGCACATAGATGTTTATAGCAGCTTTATTCATAATTGCCAAGATAAAAGACTTCCTTCAGTGGGTGAATAAACCATGGTATATCCAGATGATGAAATATTATTCAGTGTTAAAAAAGGAAAGAGTTATCAAGCCACGAAAAGACATGGAGAAATACATACAGGGTGGGGCCAAAATAGGTTCACAGTTGTTCATATGGAAAATAATACCATAATTAATCAATAATAATACAAGAATAAACTCTGTGTTTCTTGTACTCACGACGGTAAACCTACTTTGGCCCTACCCTATATTGCTATAGAACATTATGGAAAGGGTAAAACTATGGTGACAATAAGAAAATCAGGGGTTGGTAAAGGGCAAATAGAGAGAGCAATGAACAGGCAGAGCACAGAGGATTTTTAGAGCAGTGAAAATACTCTGTATGGCGTTATAATGATGCACATGTTATTACAGAGCTGTCCAAACCCAAGAGTGATGACTAAGGTACACTGTGGACTTTGGGTGACAATCGTGTATCAAGGCAGGGTCACCCTTGATAAAAAAATGTATCATCCTGGTGAGCAATGTTGGCAATGAAGGAGGTTTTGCATGCATGGGAGCAGGGGATCCATGGGAAATCTCATTACCATCCCTCAATTTTACTGTCAATTTTTACTGCTTTAAAAAAAATAAACTCTTAAAAAAAATCCCATCTTTCCTCCAAAGTTCCTTTCACTAACTCCTTCTTTGCCTTCTCCAAACATCAATTTATAGTTACTTTTTAAATAATTTTTAAAAAAATGCAAACTTGTTAGGGCCTTCAAAGGAGGAACACCCGAGGCCAAAAGTGGTAGAGAATTATAAATTTATTAGGTTATCTGGAACCCCAGATGGGCTGAGCCCCCAAATGACACCAGCACCCAAGGACCAGAGATGGGGAGTCAGAGATTTTAAAGGACTCTAGGTGGGCCTCATCTGGGTGAAGAATTCTCTGGGCAGGTCTGGATCCTGGGAAGGTCTGATAATGGTCTTAGCAAGTGGAACGTGGTCTAAGCAAAAGGGAATGTTGGTTGTGAAGTGGTCTAAAGGTTAGTTCCCACCGGAGGGGACATCGATTCAATTATTTGATCGGAACTAACAAAACTTTCAAAGGCACTCTCCCTTTCAATCCATATAGTATGGTTCTTTGTTGCACGTGTCATTTCCTTCACCAGAATTTAAATACTAGTGGGAAAGAACTGACTGAAGTGTATCCATCTTTAAATCCAGTAAAGCATCTAGCAGAAAGCTGTACTACAGCAGAAGCTAAGAAATGAATGCTTTTCCTCATGCAGCAATTATACTCTATTTGGAGACCCAAACACTTCTATTTTTCACACTTCTTGACTTTTCTCTCCAGTTGCTATCTTAATAAGCTTCCTATGTTCCTCGTCCATCTCCCACTTTTCCTGAAGCCCAAGCCCCACTTGCTTCCCAGAGATTCCACCCAACATTAGAATGACTACATTTTGCCTGGGCCTTTTTCTCTCTGTTTCCCCCCAGCACTCAAAATGTTCCTTCATCATATCTCATTTCCACTTGAGCAACTGTGTTTTACTGTGTTCCAAGCCTTTCAGAACATACATGGTAGAAAATATGAAAAAGTACAAGAAAGGCAATAAAAACGAATTGTGCCTCGATTTCCTTTGGCACAGTTATTTCCAATCTTTTCCTCTATTTGTGTTAAGATAAAATTGAGATGCAATTCTATTTATCACTGAATCGCATTTTTTAATCTTTGTCAAGGAGCTCTCACCTGAATGCCAAAGAATGTACCTACTAGCTCTGGAATTCCCAACCTCCAGGAGATGCAAGTTCATAGATCTTCCGAAGCATGAGGTTGGCTTCTGCATCCTCCCTAATCCCATCCTCATTTACTGATGGGAATCACACCATGTTGTGGGCGTGAACTGAAATCGTGCCTTGAGAGAGCTTTATGAATTGTAGAGCGTGCCAGAGATGTGCCAGAACATTTAAAGGTGTGCCCAAACATTCAGTAAATCCTATTCCTCTGTAAGAAATGCTTCAAAGGGAAAAGTCATCACCCTCCTCAAGGAAGTATCTGTTCTCGGGGATGGGAGGAGCATCAAAGGTGGCTGGGTTCTGAAAGATGCCCTCAGACTGGCTTATTTCACTTAGCACAATACCCTCCAGGTCCATCCACTGTCCTAAATGGTAAGATTTCCTTCTTTCCTATGGTTGAGTAAGAGAAAGACAAATACCATATGATTTCACTTACTAGTACACAGGAAATCTAAAGAACAATATAAATGAACAACAAAACAAAGACAGACTTACAGATACAGAGAATAGACTGATGGTTTCCAGAGGGGAAGTAGGAAGGGGGCTGGGTGAAAAAGGTGAAGAGATTGAGAAGCACAGATTGGTAGTTTCAAAATAGTCACGGGGATGTAAAGTATAGCATAGAGAATATAGTATAGTCAATAATAGTGTAATAGCTATGAATGGTGCCAAGTGGGTACTGCAAATATCAGGAGCAACACTTTGTAAAGTATATGAGTGTGGAACCTGTGCTGTCCACCTGAAACTAATACAAAATAATATTGAATGTAAGCTGTAATTGAAATACTTTAAAAAAATTTAAGGAAGCCCTCATTTGAAAGACTATTTTTATTAATTATGTCTTTACCTGAATAGCTTAAGCCCCAAACCCCTAACTTATATATTTCATTGCCATATTGATGACTTCGTTAGGAAATGTTTGAGGGAGACAAATTTAGCTGCACACTTTCCTCAATTCTTCTTCAATTTTCATATGGAGACATAATCCTTCCTTCTCCTGACTCTTTCAAACTGCAGGAGTGAATGGTGAAAAGGGAGGCCCCTGTTGCCCCTGCCCTTCCCAGACATTTTCCCCCCAATGCTTTCCTTTCCCCCAAATAAGAATTAAAAGTGATATTTCTTTTGACAGCTGGTAACTAATCCCACCTTAGCAGGAAGGAGAGAAGGAAGCCAGCAAAGAAATTTTCCATTCCTATGTCTCTTCTAATTTTTTTCCACATCAGGTACTTTTCAAAAGCTAGACATTTCCAGGGAGTCTGTCTGTCTCTGTTTTGTCTAGCGGAGTCACGTGCTCCTTCAGGTCTCCTGTGCCGCCACGGAGAAACCTGACTGAGCTGATGTTTGTATCTGGAGGAGGCGGAACTTGAGAACTTTCGAATCTCCTAAGGAAATAAAACTGCAACGTGATGCCTTGGCTGATGCAAATGGGATTTTTCCTTGGTAAAGATCAAGTTCACACAGCTAGTCGCTCAAACCACAAATCAAAAAGCCCTGTATCCTAATACCTACAACTCTGAGTCTTAAAATAAGTCTCTGCTCAAGGGTCTTTTGCCTGCCACATTTCCTTCCTTCCTCCCTTCCTTCCTCCCTCCCTTCCTTCCTCCTCCTTCCTTCCTTCCTTCCTTCCTTCCTTCCTTCCTTCCTCCCCACATCCTTACCTTCCTCCCTTCATTTCTTCTTTCCTTTTCTGTTTAAATACTAAAGGGCTGTCTGTACTTGACAATGTCCCAAGCCCACCAGAATGTATACGATAAGAAGCAGATGAAAAAGTAAAAAAAAAAAAATCAACTTGAATTTGTTTCCTTAAGCAGCAATCCAGTTCAGCATTTTCATAAGATAATGCGAAATACTGTAATTTTTCCAAAGATTCTTCATTGCTTAACGAGAAGAATATTCTTCAAAGGCATCAACTAAGTATAAGCAGGAATTTGTAGGGGCAATATCACTAGAGAAAAAGTCAGAATACTGGATTTTACTGTTGGACTGACAATCAGAGGGATGACCCTTATCAAGACACTTTATTTCTTTGAACCTTAATTTTTAAGCATGCAAAATAAAAGAGTTGCGTGGTTCTATTATCTCTTCTTGGTATATAATTTTATTGTTCCATCTATCCACATTATAATGAAATGAAGCTACATATATAAGAACAGGGATTATGTATATTTTTTGTCCTTTTTTGCTTATTCGATATCTAACACAGTACCTGGCCCATAATATGTGCTCAATAAGAATATGTTTAATGAATGAATGCATGAATCAACAGATTATGTTTTTATATCAAGGCAAAAGGACCAAAGACTTCAATTTTTGTTTAAATCAAAGTAGCCATTTGAAGTTTTAGCATAAGTTGGGTTGGATTCATGTGGAAACAGTCTATTTGACACCAAAAAATGATAGTCACATTTATATCACCTTGTAGTCTTAAAAGTTATTTGCTATTGCTCTCATGTAACTGTTCCCAGAAATTATTAGTCTTCAAAATGGAAGATTCTATGAATTTCTTACTCCCATTGTCATCTCTACAGGTTGCTATTGCTGTAGAGTATAAAATCCAGGTCCAGTTAAGGCTGAAAGGGAAGTAGTTACAGTGAGGTGTCACAGGCTCAGGAATCTTGCATTTTGTTGTGGATTTGTACAATGCTATTTGAAGATAAAATGCATCTTGAATTTTTTTCCTGCAACAAATTGACTTTATAATGTCCAGTTGTATCCTATATACCACAAGTCACCTTGGAAAGCAATACTTTTCACATATCAACTATTGGTTTTGATTTATGCAAAAGGGAAAAGAATGGAGCCAATTTAGCAGAACTGTGTAGACAAACCTTTGCATACAGTTATTCTAGAAAGCTTGTTTTGCATTAATGATTTCCCTTTCCCTGATCTATGTATTCCACAAATAGATTGCTAAACACTAATATGTACTTGCTTTCCTTCTCCCTTCTTATACAAATTGCTCTCTCTGTGGAGTGGGGGGTTAGTAGGAGACAGAGATGTCAGTGTGTATGTGTGTGCTATAATTGAAAAGCTAAGAAACTGATGAAATAACACTCCTGTTGGTTGTGGGGATGGAATGTTCTGGAGGGGGTGAAATGGTTGGTCTCTCTGAACAGTGGGAAATAGAACTGTTCACACTACATTTCCGATTACTGCGCTCCTCTCCATCATTTCGCCTGCCCCCGGAGCAGAAAGGCACACATTGTTGGAGCGGGGCAGAATATGCCAGACTGACCTCCTTTCCTTTGAAACAATTTTCACAAAACAGAACCCAGTGGAAGAAAACACAGGAATCCCCGAATGCATATTGAAAAGGGATTCGTTTCTCACTCGTCAGATAACAATGGTTAATGACTTGGGTAACCCGACTTTGCTTTCCTGTGGTCTTAATAAAAAGGCTGGTTCATTCCATTAGGAAATCAGTGAGATGAATCGTAATGAAAAACCGCGATTCTCTGCCAGGATTTAGCAAAGGCCATGAATAGCCCAGCTTAAAAGTTGAATTTCTTGTTTTCCTTCCTGTGTGGTTCTCTTTGAAAAGGCAACAGAATGGTCCATTTGGCCTTTGGAAAATGCATCTCAAAGGAGGAGCCACTGCCAACTGGTGAGGTCCATCCTAGGTAAACGAAGCCGCGGGGCATTAGGCATGCAATGGCCAGAGGGCAAATCTGAAAATGAAGACTGAGTCACTTGTGTGGATTTTCTTGCTAATGAGGGAGGGTATGGAACAGACCCAGCTTGCAGGAAACAGCTCCTCCAGGGCTCAGAGGCTGGGCATATTAAAGTGCTCAGTGCTGCATATTCTCCTCTGCAGTGGAACAGTTCTGCTATAACGTGACATAGGCATTCTTAGAAATCACAATGCTATGCATGACCCCCCTCCCTCCCCCGCCCCCCAAAAATAGGACTTACAGGGAAAATAGGACTAGCAGCATAACACTCAAAATTTTTATCAGAAAGCCCTAGCTGGGTGGCTCGGTTGGTTGGAGCATCGTCCTGTGCACCAAAAGGTTGCGGGTTCGATACCCAGTCAGGGCACTTTCAGGAGACAATGGATCCATGGTTCTCTCTCTCTCCATCTTTCTCTCCCCCTTCCTCTCTCTCTAAAATCAATAAAAAATACCCCTGAGTGAGGATTTAAAATTTTTTCACGAGAAATATTTTTTTTTACAAAGATAGGAATCTGATAAAAAGGTTGGTATAGTGTTACACACGATCGATGTTAAGGAATGCATACATGTTAAGGAATGCACTTGGCCTTGGGAAAGGCCCAAGGTTCAGTTGTGGACGTGGGAATCAGAAAGGTTTGCAGCTTGTGAGCACTGGGAAGTGGCAGAGAGTTTGTCTGAAATCCGATGGGAGGCTGGAGCCCCACGGGTAGGTGAGCGAGCTGTGCATGTGTGTTTTGTGGATTCCCATGTAGCTCAGCTGAGTTAGGTGCCATTTTTCTCATTCACCTCATGTTTCTTGAGGAGAAAATCACATGCTTGCTCAAATTATATGCTGCGCTCAAGCAATCACAGGTCATGTTCAAATTGCTCCTCAGTATATCAAGTGCACAGGAAAATGAATTTGCATTTTCAAGCAAGAGTTATAGCAGAACTGATGGAATATTCTCAGGTTAAACTAGTTTAATACCTAAGAGTCAAATGAAGAGTTCAACTTTTTCTGAACCCTGTGGCGATTTCCAGATAGCTGTTCAGTGTTGTGTTGACATATTAAATCATTCTACGTCTATATTTTTCATCTTTCCCCAATAATACCACTTAACTTCTCACACCATAAATATGGAAGTCAAAGAAGTTGGTCAAGAGCTTCTTTTGTTCTCACACGAGGGAGTGCCTTCACTGACCAGATTATGTTGTCTTTCTAGCTCACCTTCCATTTTTTTTTACCTAGCTCTGGTTTCTATTTTTTTAAACTTATTTTTCAATTTCAGTTGACATACCGTAGTATATTAGTTTCAGTGTATAGTATATACAGCGTACAGTGTAGTGATTAGACATTTATATACCTTATGAAGTGATCAGCCCAATAAGTCTAGTCTAGCTCTGGTTTTTAAATTCTGTTTGTTCCAGATGTTAATCACAGTATTTTATAACACATCTACCTATCATTAATACATTCTTTAATTTTATCCAGCAATTTCTTACCCTTGAAATGTTTTCTTGTTTCATTTAAAGCTGGATCTTGTTATCATTTTGTGGAGCTTTCCTTCAGTCCACTTCTATCAAATATGCAAAGCAAATGATTGTCAGTCTATCTCATTTGCTTTTTCCATAATATGCAGAGTTCAGAATCTTCTCCATCTAGGAATCTTACCCTTTGGAAAGGGTTTTGCAAGGATCCAATGTAAATATGAAGTAACAGGAACACCCACACTGTGCTTGGCCTTTCTCATCATGTTTTTAAGGCTAATCCAAGAAAACAGCCTATAAAACATGCACACACGGTATGTGCATTGCTGATCTTCTGGTAAACATCCCTTCTATGATTAAATTGATTCCTGAGGAATTGGCTCGGACAACTAGTACCAAAGGTCATTTTCAAAACTTCCTGTGCCCCTGAGAATGTTTTGTGTTAATAATATGCATTCGGTTTATAGACACTTAAGAAAACCTCCTTTATGTCAGACCAGAAACAAAGCCAAGATTAAAACAAGGAGAAAAATCCCACCACCTCTGTGGAATCAAATGGACGCTGGCTTCTGGAAAGAAAAGAAAGCTGGGGTTTGAAAGATTCGCTACAAGTCTCAATCTCTCCATATTTTATTTCCAGGCCTAAAACAGAAAAGCAGAAGAAACACCGCCATCTGGGGACAGAGGCCATGACAGGATCTGGACAGGATGACAGATGAGAAACAGGAGAGCCAGACCTGGGATCACAAGGAAAAACAACACAAAACAGAGGAAATGGATTCTTAATGCCAATAAAGTAGCTAAACAAGATTTCTTTGTCATTTTCTTAAAAAAAAAAAAAAGAAATTTTAGAGAACTTGTAAAACTTTTTCACATTTAAGAAAATGTGTTTTGCCCTGGCCAGGTGACTCAGTTGGTTGGAGTGCCGTCCTGTACACCAAAAGGTTCAAGTTCCAGTCAGGGCACACCAAAAGGTTGTGTTTTCAATCCCTGATTAGGGCACCGATGGCAGGCAACCAATCAATGTTTCTTTCTCACATTGAAGTTTCTCTCTCTCTCTCTCTCTCTCTCTCTCTCTCTCTCTCTCAAAATCAATAAAAACATAACCTTGGGTGAGGATTAAAAAATGTGTTTCTTAATTTTCTTAAATATAAATTAGTAAATATCAATCAATCAATTCCAAGCCCTTCCTAGGACACTTTGCTTACATCACCAATTGGGGACACCATGTGCAAACAATATTTTCTTTCTCGAGTTAAAAGGAAATCAGCATATGTTTTATGCAGTAAACATGATTTAATTGAAGATATGAAACCCACTCTTACTTATAATTCTTTGCAGACAAATATTTCCGTGTCCTTTATGGAACCAGTGTATTTCACTTTCTCAGGGTAGCACAATACAATTCCATAAACTATAGGTGGCTGGTGGCCTGCTTTTCTATTTCTTTTTTCCTAGAGATCAGAGAGGATCAGAGACTGAAGTTTGAATGTTGTCTAACTGTCCCAACTCTGCCAATATTGTTCACTTGATTTCTGAAGTTTTAAGCAGAGAAGGGAAACATTTTTAAAAAGTCAGATTCTTCTTAAAGCGGGCACTCAAATTACCAATGCCCTGCTCTTAGGGGGTCACTGTTGTCAAATTCTACACGGGAGACTTCTCTCATATGATTGCAATTACCAACATCGCAAGCTATTAGCGTGTGGCCTCATGGCCTGCCTAGAGTAGAGCCTCAAGTGATTTGTTTTTAAAGAGAGATGATTCGTTTTTAAAGAGAGAGAGAGAGAGAGAGAGAGAGAGAGAGAGAGACCTTCAGGCCCATGAACCACAGGGATTTGAGAGGCAGGAACTGAATTGTGCCATGTATTCAATTTGTCAGCACAGTCTCCAGTCCACTCACTTGGCCCAGCTCAGGTGTAACTGGAGCAGAACAGTCATCAGTCAAAAATACTACTGTCTGATCAGTTCCAAGCTTGTGACAGGAGACATGCTCTATAGATCCTTGGGGACATGAAGAGGCAAGAAATGAGACGAGTCCAGTGGTGGGAATAGCTGATTAAAACGCACAGATGTATTAGTTATTTGAGTATGAAGGAAAAACTAATAGCATATAACTTCTGAAGATTCATGTATCCAGTGGATTTGTTTGTTGGTTGGTTTAATTCGAGATGCACACTGACGTAACTGCTCATTTCCCCCCTCACATCAGGTTCAGGTCCTGATATCTGGCATAGGTAAGCTTTTCTGAGCTCTGCCTTAGGTACTACGATCTTGAAGGATATGCTTGCAGCCACTACCTGAAATCTACTGATGTTCCACCTACCATACTGGCTGGTCTCCTGGTACTTTAACACTTGTCCAGATAGAGCATGAGTTTTCTATCCTTTTTTTGTAACCCTATTTTTAATCAGGGCCTCCCTTTCCAATAGGTTAGTCCTAGAGCCAAGTGAATTCCTCTAAGCATGCCCAGTCCATCGCTGGTTTCTGTACTTCCACATGGACCTGTGACTGGGGAACAGAGGTGGGAGGCCTGGTTGGTAGTTGGTGCTCTAAATATATCAGTAAGGCAATGTATTAATGAACTGATTTGGCAAAGTCTAACTGCAGGCAGACACAGCTTGTGCTGTGACAGCACCCGTCTCCAAGGCTCACGATAGAACAGGAAACAAATTGTTTCCATTTACCTCAAATTAGCCAGGGGCGGACCAAAGGGCTTCCACTAACAGCCACGCTTCTGTGAAGAAGAAAGTGCACAGTAAGAGCCAGGCTTCTCACCCCAGGTGCTTGTGATAATGGTATGTCTGCGGTTATGATTCATTCCGCTTGATGCATGAACCCAGCTTCCCCATCACCTAAAAGTTATCCCAGATAAACAACTTAAAATACTATATCTGAACATAGTTTTCTTTGTAAAACATAAAAAATATAACTCTTGAAGAAATAACAGATACATTCTGAATCATTTCATTCCATCCCTTCAATGAATCTACACTCCTGTGTTTTAGGTGTATCGATAGGAGGTGGTAGGAACTAACATGGTATGGTAAATAGTAGGACCTACTAAGTAAGTACTTACTAAATTAAATTGTATAATGTTGAAGAGAAGACACAATTTGCTTGTGTATTTTGAAAACACTGGTCTTGAAATTGAAAGATCGAGCTTGTGGTCTCAACTTTGCCACTTACTAATCTGTGACCTTGAGATGTCATTTAACTTCCTTTTGTCTGAATTTCTCATCTGTGAAATTAAGATGACTGAAGTCAATACCTAAGATTCTTCCCAGCCAAAAGTCCCACAATTCCTGGTAAGCCTTTTTCACATTCCTGTAATTCATTAGTAATGTATTGTTCTATGAGATTTAAGCTCCTTCTTCCCTTTCTCATTAACATACAACCCAATTATCATATGCCCTTTAATTTAATGGATTTGAATAAAACAAGCCAATTTTTTCACCTTAAGGTGAGTGTGTAATATGTCATTCTGGTATTCAGTGATATTGCTGACCTGTGATATGCCAGTTAGTCCTTTCTCTGAAAATAGAGCTACAAATCTGTATGCTATAATTCAGGTATAGAGTTTTTCTCTACACAAAGATTGAGTTAGAAATGTCTGTGTTTGAGTACAAATGGTTTGGGTACTTTTGTTGTTTTTTTGTTTGTTTTGTTTTTAAATATATTTTATTGATTTTTTACAGAGAGGAAGGGAGAGGGATAGAGAGTCAGAAACATTGATCAGCTGCCTCCTGCACACTCCCCACTGGGGATGTGCCCGCAACCAAGGCACATGCCCTTGACGGGAATCGAACCTGGGACCCTTGAGTCCGCAGGCTGACGCTCTATCCACTGAGCCAAACCAGCTAGGGCTGTACAGAAGGTTTCAAGGAGAGTACATAAACCTATACATGGAGCCTGTCCTTAGTTTCCCCCAAGTTGGAATGGGATGGTGGTAGTTTTCGGAACAACAGGAAAAAAGTGTGTTCTGCTAAAAATGAAGCTGAATTCTGCCACAGACACACATCCATTCCAGCACCTGGGCTCTGGTCATTTTTGTTGTGACCTTTCACTATTGGTTAAGGTGGTAGGTGGACATAGGGAAGTTGTTCCAAAACAACCAGATGGAAAATCATAAAAATGCAGGGAAGCCTGGGAATTGCTGGAAAAAGCCGCATGTGCAGCGCCAGGTGACTGCCCAAAATAGACTGAACTTCCCCAAACCATGAAAGTGTCATCTATGTGCTACCGGGGTTTTCAAACACCTATCATAGTAATCGTCGCCCATACAACTTCCAAAAAGCAGCTCCTGCTCCATGTGCAGGAGGAATTACTCTCTCTCCACTTTCAGCCAGCCCCAGGGGGCGTCAGAGATGGACAGAACAGAGTCACTAAGCTGGAGAGTCACAGAAGGTGCCACCTGCTTCTCTTTTATTGGGAAGGCAGGGTACCCACTCTCTAGGGAGCAGAGTTCTCTTCAGAGATCACTGTAACCAGTATACTGACTCTATGCTAACGCTACTAATTCTAACAGCGAGATTTCACCATTAAGCCTAGTAAACCCAGGGCAGCAACAAGGCATCCTAACATGGCTCTTCTGGTCTTACCTTCCTTAGTCAGACAACCGTTCATATATAATGAGCCTTCTCACATTGCATTTGAATTGCCTGCGTTCTGGGTATTTTGTGAGGGAAGGCTTATATTATGACAAAGGACTAGAAACTAGGTTTTTTTCTGACTAGGTTTGTTCTGTATATCCTAATTCCCCCCAAATAGATACAAATACACTACTGCCATATAGTTAAAAGAGAATCAGTGCTGGGGGAGGAAGGGGGAGGAGGTTCCCAAGGAAACAAGCCCCTGGTTTTATGAATAGCTGCTCTCTCCCATCTAGCATTTGCCAGAGGCCAGGCAGTGTGCTAAGCCCTTTAAGTGTGTTATCTTATTTAATCCTCTAACCTCGTAAGTCAACACAAAATTATCACTCCCATTTTGCAAATAAAAACCTGGACCTTGAAGACGTTGACTGCAATGTCACGTAGCTAGCGAGGGTCCCAGGTTCTCCTTATCACTGGCCGTCCTCCCATTCCTGTGCTTTTGCATAAGGTACCTGGGGAAGACTCCAAGTGAACCTGTCAGTTTCTATCTAAATGAGAAATCTCCTCGGAACTAAACGGATTTCTCCTGGGTATTCTACAAGGAGAATGCGCACTGGCAGAGCCCAGCTGTGGACTGGGTGTAATTGTCCTGGATGTTGCAATTATCTACAAGTAGGAAGTAGCATGTGTCCCAACTTTTTTTCAGGTCTCGTCTCACCAGGAGTGGGCCCATATGTGGTGTTAGTCACTTTTCTTCCTTGAAATCTCACCATTTCATTAACAATAATTATTTTTCCTCTGAATGTTAGAGCAGGGCTTGCATGGTCATGGGAGTGATTTTCAAGGTCGTCATGAGAAACACTGAGTTCGCCTGAACCAGGCGCACTGACTGGAGGTCAGATGGCCCTTCAGCATTTCGTGAAGGTGCTCTGAGCCCTGGAAATTGGAACTGATCTGGCAGTTCCTGGATGTTCTGAACACCCAAACCACAGCTGGACTGCGGAAAGAGAACGTCACAAACTGGTTCTGTGAGATTTTACCTTCATGGGATCTTAATTTGATATTAACACATTGCGGACCAGTAGTTTTATTGCTAGTTTTACCCAGTGGCCAGATAAGTTTCTATTGAACGAGTTCAAACAACATTTTACATAAATGTTAAAGGCACGCTTTAAAATT